CAGCCTTACCTAATGTCCACCTACTGTTACTCATTTATATTAAGATTTGAACATCTGGTTGGTGTTGGTGTGGAGGGTAACCTTCAGTAATAGTAATAAATCACACAGCAATAGGACATTCATGTAGTTGTAAAAAGCATGATAATATATTAAGTAATCCAAAGTATTCAGAATACATTACTGTCATTGAGTAACGTAACAGAATAAGTTACAAAATACATTTTGTACTCTGTAGTGGAATACATTTTAAAAGTAACCTTCCCAACACTGAATATAAATTAATGAGTAAATACACCAAGAGTGTGTTTCAGAGGACGCACATGAAGATTACACTACGAAATAAGAAGTTACTATAAGTTTTGTATTAAATTGCTACACAGATATACTACAGAAAAACACCACTGTGTTGGAACAGGAACAGGAAGTGATACTCTACTCCCGAGAGAACGAACACCAAGTGACAGTATGTGTACTGCATATATGCCTGCGACCTGATGAAGGTCGGATAGACCAACGTGTGTGCAGCAGTTACATGTAACTGTTTCATGAAGCAATAAGGCAAAAAATATTGAGATGACAAGCTGAGTCTGAAGGAAATAAAACACAAAAACGGGCTGTTATTTGTGTGTGTCCGTGTGTGTGCATTTTTACAATGTTTACATATCCTTATGGGGACCAAAAATTGGCATGCTACTATACTTGTGGGGACCATCAGTCACTTATGGAGACAAAGTTTGAAGACATTGAGGTTCAAAACGGGGTTTTCGTGTCAGGGTTACAGGCAGCTAGGGAAAGTATTACGTCAATTATGTCCTCACTAACACATGAAAACAAGTATGTGTGTGTGTGTGTCTCTGTGTGTGAGGTAGTGTTTCTACTGCAGCATACCATGTAGTACTACAGGACACTATTAGAGATCGATCCCTGATCACTGATAGATTAGATAGATGACTGATTACGTCACGTGTCCCCACGGTCACCTGGCACACAGGTGGAACCTCCGACTCATGACGACAACGATGATGATGATGATGATGATGATGATGATGATGAAGGTGAGCTGTGGAGGAATGCGGATCTCTCGGTTTCTACGTCATTGCGCTGCTGTGACGCACGCGGATCTATATTTACACACGCATGAGACACGTGCACGCGCGTGTCCCATCGCAACGCGCGTGCACCAAGATGAAGATAAACGATGTTTCTATAGCTTCATCATCATCATCCTCAAACATCTCGAGGCATCACAGCGATCAAACGGACCCACACATGCACGCGCGTGGTACCGGTCCCGGGAGCGGCGATGCTGGTGGCGATAACGATGATGAAGATGGAGCAGAGCTCCAATGATGGAACTGATGAAGGTGTGTTTGGTGTTCTTACCCCGGCATAAAGAAGCCTCTTTATCGACTCACCGACCGTCTGAGTCCGTCACCGACCGCTGCTGTTTACCGACGGACTGACGGAGCGCTCCTCCTCCTCCTGCGCGTCTTCCTCCTCCTCTTCCTCCTCAGTCTCAGCGGCTTACAACGGATTCACCCCCCCACCCCCACCGATGGTTAACGGCACAACCGGACATTTTAAACATTTCTCCCTGATCAATAACCTGATCAGACTGAAGCTCTGTTTTTAGTTCCGCTGCTTCATTTTAATAGAAATCACCTGTTAGATGGCCACGGCGTTTCCATGGCAACCGTACACTTCCTGTTCGCACGAGGGAGAGTTTTGCTGCTAAAAAAAACATTTCAGCGCAGACCAGCGATTATTATGGGATGTTTGTAACTGTAAGAAAGCAGGTCAGAGACTCTTCATCTCATCATCATCATCTTCATTATTATCATCATTTTTTTATTTTTTTATTACCTGAAGATAAAAATAAAATACTGCAGCGCTCGCGCGCGCACACACAC